AGTGTGATTATGTAGAAACATTCCATTGATTAATCAAAGATTAAATGGCAAGAAGCAATTTCATGACCGTAACATAATTTCTCTTGCGATAAACACGTCAAGGCCGAAGAGAATAGAAGCCAGTATCAAATCTTGTTGCATCTCTTTTCAGTATTTAAGAGGAAGTCTTTCCAACTGATACTTGCCATTTGAGCTACTATTAGGTTCACAAGAAGGTCGCGATGAAAGTAGAAAAATCTTACTCATAGTTCGTCCTTCGGACTTTTGAAGTCGAATTATGATAGTTGTACGGAATTTTGTGGAAGTTTTAAGTCGAAATTTTGCGGTATATTTCCCGCTCACTATAGATTTTAGCAATCAAGGACAACCGGCATCAACGTCATTTTCCAGAGGCCTAGAATATTTCAAAATCTTTATCGAATTTTGAATGACTTGAATACGTTTGTGAGTTTTGCGCAGATAAAAATGTATATTCATTTTGTTTCCATAAATCGAAATAGATCACAATTATCGAACAAAGAATAATGAGTATGACTAATTATAAGATTTTCTTACTATCGTCAAGATCTATTTATGAAAAACGATGGATTTGCAAGTATGGAATTCATAGGAATATGCCACATAATTTATAATTTTCTTACTTATGCTACTACTTTTTCGATCAATTTACAAGTAGCTAGATGTGCTTTAGCTAATAACACTGAAAAATCTTTGAGTAATTTCTAAAATATTAACTTTCTATATATGTTCATCTTTCATGTTTATATACTTTTAAGTAACATTTCAGAATAAAGTTAAAGTCTATTACTATCTAATAGTAATTTATATCCTACATCCGACATTGTACTTGAATATCATACTAATAATTTACATTGACATAAACTAGCATTAATGAAAGAATTATAATTAATATATAATTGTCAAAGACGAAGTGGATTCGATATTAGATTGACTACATTAAATAATGTATTATATTTAAATAAAACAATTTTAATAGAAAAATTTGAAGTGAAAACCATTTACAATCATAAGAAAAATTGTCTGTGAATTCGTTTAAAAAATCGAGATCGATGATTCTGAACTTTGAAAACAATCGGGTTTTACTGGAACCGGCAGAAAAGATGCGAGAAAAATCATTGTATTCGGCAGGAAAATACCAAAAATCGATGGAACATGGCTGAAATATTCCACACCAAGAAGTCTACCGATTTTTCCGATGAATTACGACCGTTTTCTGTCGGAATCGGTCCGTATTGCTTTGTCTTGGGAGAAAGACAACAAAGAATAATGAAAAGACTTAACCGATTGTTTGAAAATTTATTTTCAATTTTAAAACAAATTGATTTTTCTACCGGGTGAATATTTTTTTCAAACAATTATAAACGATCATATGTTGGCAACAAGCTTCCCGGAAAAACATCGTTCAATAGCACAAACAAAACGTTTGTAAAATAAATACTGTGTTTTATTGACAATGGAACTTGTTCGAATGTAGACGCACTTTATGGCATCACAACTTAAAACTCTTCTTTTCTATATATTAATAAAATCGACGAGCAACAGACGAGTTTGACAAGTCGTATTGATCTGTCACACTGAAATAAAGGATCTCAAAAATAATGAAATTGTTATTTTTTATTATTCTAATATGCGATTTATTCTGCTTTTCTAATTGTGGAACACTATCAGCTTCACAACTAGCTGAACAAGCATTAATAACAACATTGTTAAATGGCTATAATAAAAATATAAGACCAGATGACCAAGTATCTGTTGATATCACTGCTTCATTACAACAAATCGTAACTATAGATGAAAAACAACAAATAATGACATCAAGTTCATTTATTTCACAAACATGGTACGATGATCGATTATCATGGACACCAGATAGTTCAAATAATAATATAACCGTAGTTATGCTACCGATTAAAAGTTTATGGATACCAGATACGATGATATTGAATTCAGCAGATGCAAGTGGTTATCTCACAGTGAGTGATTATACTTTGGCATCTGTCTACTATACAGGTCAAGTGTATATGATAATACCAGCATTAACAGTAAAAACAAGATGCAATTTCTTTGTTCAAAAATTTCCATTTGATAAACAAATATGCAGTATCAATTTAACATCATGGAGTCAAGGATCCAATAGAATCTTATATACAGAAAATAGTAGTTTAGTAATTGATATTAGTGAATATAGTGAACATCCTCTATGGAAATTGAATGGAACAGATATGGTTGTAATTCAAGCTTCAGATAGAGCACCATTTGAAGATACTTATAATGCTGTAATATCAATACAGTTATATCTAGAAAGAAAACCCTTATTTTTTATGATGAATGGTATATTTGCATGTTTGATTTTAAATTGTGTTATGCTGTTATCATATGCATTACCCTTTGCATCACAAATTGGCCTATGTAAGAATATGTGCTTTTTTTTCTGAATACTAGTAGATGGAACTTATAAAATAAATATATTGTATTTGCATTTTAGGTATGATATGTTTTATGACATATTCTGTTTATTCACTAAATTTTTCGAATCTATTTCCACAACAATCTGAATATTCAATGATGATCACATTATACTTTTTGTTATCAATTTCCTGGACGCTAATATCAATGGTATGGTTTACAATATATAATTATTTTATAACAAAAGCTGAAATGCCAAAGTTACTTTATATTTTGTGTGGAATATTGCAAAAACTGTTTTGTTGTTGTTTTCCATCATTAAAACAAGATGACAAGACAAATCAAAAGAAGAAAATTATTGTTGAGAATGATGAGATTAAGAAGTCTCGAGATAGACAAAGTACAAAAGCAACAAGCATTAATAAGATACAGCATATTTCTATTGAAGATATGAAATCTATCAAAACAAATGCAACTAATGTTAAGTCAATTGAAACAGCAGCAGTTGTAATTATTAACGAAACAAATCAAAAAGAGAAACCAAAATGCGACTTCTGTAATAGATGTGAGTCATGCCAAGCCGATTTTGATAAAGATAAAGCGAAAAACAAAAATAAAAAAGAAATTGAAGCTAGATGTAATGTCTTAAATTATTTTGTCTTGCTTTGTCTATTTGTATGCATGTTTGTTTCTAATATGGTTTTATGGTTCACAATGTCACAATGACTGACTATAACTTATTTTTTTGACTATAATGTTTTTTTTTCAACTATCATTAAAATTAAAATAAAATAATTGCACAAATCTTACGTCAGAATAAAATACGGTTTGATTACTTTTTATAAATTCGTTCAAGTTTGTTTAGCCAAGATCTAAAGGAAAGACACTTTTAAAGGTCTTTTTACAGATCAGCTTTATTTATCGGATGATTTAACTGCATGCCTGTCAAGCTCTATGAAACATCATTGGTATTGCTTGGATGAGAATAAAAAACTAAAAAATCAAAAAACAATTAATTTTCAAAAAACTTGATTACATTTTTTTTGGTTTTCTTTTTTGTCTTTTTCTGCTTTGGTTTCTTCTTCTTTGATTACCATTGATTATCAAACAGTATCACCCTCATCTTAACCTTTCTTGTTGAATCAGTGAGTTGTTATCTCTCTTAGTGGAGGGTGAAGTGAGTTCATGTATTATTTTTAATCGAAAAAAAAAGACGTGTTTCACAGGGTATAGTGAGTGTGAATGTAAATTTAGTTTAAGACGAAAACTGAAACCACGACTCTTCCATCCCCACCCAGCTTTTACACAAGTTCTAATCATTCTGCAGATACACGCAAATAAAACTTTGGATTTACATGTGATTACCAAACGTGCGTCCATACATGTGCTACTATTTTTCATTCATGCGCAATAGTTACTAATATTTCAGATAACTTGCATGTTTTTACATGAGATTTCTGAGAATCTTGCGCAAATACACACATTTTTTAAAGTTTCGCATTACACTGGTAGGTAACATGCCAACCAGTCTTACAGCTACTAGTTTGACGTAGCTAATAGTCCTAAGAGAATCATTTAACATAGTTTTGACAACCTATATGTCTACAGTGATATGCATCGTCTAGCATCATTGATGTCCTGCTTGACTTTTGAAGAGAATAAAATGAATAGAAATAATGCCACATTTCTTAGAAATCCACTAAAATAGTGTGTACTTGTTTTATTATAATGATTCCACTTGTCTGATTGTATAAATAATACAATTTTGTCGTTCATTTCAACACTCATCTTACAAGTTATGACAGAAGTTAGCTTCTGTGGATTGTAAGAAAACTATAGTAAATCAAATATGTTATATTATATATAAAATCGACATCATTTGTACAATGTGTGCGAAGACTTGCTTGGTCCAGCTTTTATAATGTCAAAAATTATAGTACCGTGAAAAATACAATCTAATAAGCTAGAATATAAGCCAGCTTTATGCAGTTTACATATTGAAAATTGATTTGAAAGACTATGGTATCAGGGTGTGTAGATGTGGGTATGGATGAATAAAAGTAACACCCACACCCTCTTTGTCGAATTTTCATTCAATTATTTATAGATAATAATTCATCGAATTGTTCAAGCCATTCAACAACATTTTTATGGTTTTGTGTGTAAGTTTCTACTATATTCACCGACGTTCATCGCCCGTCCGTATTACTTATCATCAAATGGAAGAACAGAAAAATATTTTGTACTTTGCTTTTTCTTCTTCCTATGAAGAAAAACAACAACGCAATGCGTTAGTCAAAAAAAAAGAAAGGTAGACGCTTGCGGCCGAATGTTCGTGACGAAAAGAAAAAGCCTCTTCTACCCCTATAAATATTTTTGTTTTATTCACTGAAAGAAAATTGTAAGTAGACATACTATGAAGGAAAAAAACAATCGTGCGTCCAAATATCATGAAAACAAGACTAGGATGGGTGGTGGGTGTGGATGTGTCTTCGCTGCCCTGGCACCTACACCTAGATGAACTATATTTCCATTGTTTCTGGTTTTTAGATTATTCTATTTCTTCGTTTGCAATGCCAATCGACGCAAAAAAAGCATGGGCAGAGTTGAGTCGGCTGAAATTGTTAAGCCCGTCTGGTAATTCACCTGGAATATTTATTGTTGATGAATCTCCATTTCAAGAAGAAGGAGCAGCCGCTACCGCAAAATCCGGGCATGATTTCATCGCCGGACGAATATTTCCAAATTCTGACATCTACAAAGAAGGCGCCTATCGACTTGAAATGACATTTGCGCCTGGGTATCCATTCAAGCCACCGAATGTGCGTTTTACTACACCTATCTACCATCCGAATGTTGATAAAGATGGTGAGCATTATCTATACGGAGAACACTATTGAGAGCATTGTTAAAAGACTCTTCTGCTTCCAGACAATTACATCTCATTTTTTCTTGTTCGTACTTACAGGCGTAGTTTGCATCCCGATTGTGTTACAAACTGAAGAGTGGAAGGCGAATACATATTTGGCCGACGTAGTCAAAGCTATTGTCGATGTTATTGATAATCCTAAACCGCAGTATGCGATGAACGGCGGTAAGTTTATTTTACATTTTCGGTTTCCCTATTAAATCACTCTTTCTGTTTTGTTGTAGATATATACAAAGAGTATACCGAAAATAGAGCCGAATTCGAGCGTAAAGCAAGAGAAATGGTGAAGAACAAAGCGCTACCTCGAAAGTGAACACGATTATTCGCTCAGACATGTTAAAACTCATCCGCAACTTTTTGAATAACACGCTTTCTGTGTATTCGTATGTGTTATTCTGTCTAGGTTGTTCTTATGTCACGCACTGCATTTTTTAGTTCTTTTTCTTCTCTCCTTACCTCTCTTTTCTTTTTATTCATTTCTGTCGAAGAAAAAACAAGCATCATGATATCATTATATTTGAGACAGAGGGTATGCTTTGAAAGAGACATGATGTGTTGTTTTTCTTTGTGTATGCTCTTTCTCTTTTCAATTGGTTCTCCAATAAAAGAAGTGGTGTTCAACGCAAAGAATAATGACAAAGTTAATAACAATTTCAACATATATGCGATCAACTATATCTACATACTTGTTATGTCACAACTTATTACACGAAAGTAAACTTGCTTATCGTCACTATGCAAAGCATACAAATTTTGCATAACAAGCGGCCATGCAATTTTTGTAGTGAGAACAGGCTTGTTCGAATCAATAACTTAGTTCATGTTGACTAACCATATTCGATGCTGAAGCTAATGTTAGATCTCAAGTGTGGGTGTGGGTGTTGATGCCACCTGTTTCCAGATCCACATTCTAACATATATACATATTTTCAAAGAAACTCTGCACTGTTCACATTCAAAGGTAGATATTGAGAAGAACTCTTTGAAAAATAGCAAAGGTTCGTAAACCATTTATTTGAAAACTAGTCGAACTAATTTATCATTTTGACGAGTAAAATATTAGTAAGTTTTATTCTAATATTAGTGTCTAAAACAAAATTTGTGCAGAAGCTGGTTGGACCAAAATATTTTCTTTTGGAAACGATAAAGTTGAATTGAATAAAATAGTTTGTTTGTCTTATCTTCCAACTCGGTATTATTATGGTAAAATTGGGCTTCGTCATTACGTAAACCCCATAAGCTATTGCATTTTTCCTAGCGGCATTTTGTGACAACAGTTATGGGATACCATCGGGAATTGCATTTGGTTGTGCTTGCTTTGCCAAATCATCCCTAATTTGGATTCCAACAATTTATACTAGTACATCAACACAATTTCAATGGAGTTTTGTCAAGGTCAGTGCATTAGATAGTCCAGAACCAATCAATCGTATGGACCCAACATATACAATAACCAAAATGGACTAAAGTGAGCGACGATCACATGTGCATATGTCAAACTTGGAAATCAAATCGTCATCTCTTAACAGTCAGATACATTTACCTATTAATCATTAATTCTTGTTCTTCATATATATGTCGGAGTTGATTTAAAATTCAATTGCCTTTGTAAGACAGCTAATGGGCTCTATAATATTTTAACGGTAACTTCGACATTTATATGAAGGTGATTTCATCGTATATATGACGCTTTATACACGAATTTCTCCAAATCGATTTTCATGTTTGAAATCGGGTAGAGCATAGTCGATTTACTTATTAAAATAACAAAAGATCCGCAATGAATTCTAATTCTGAAAAGATTAGCGATTCATGAGATTAATGCGAAACATAGCTAATTCGATATAAGAACACTGTAAATAAAGCTAAAATATTCATCATCAATCTCGATAACGCAGAATTTGGGCATACAGTGACAGAGCAGGTGTTGAAGAGGAAAATTCGCTCTACATATCCACATATAACACTTTTTAGGGGAATAGCAAACAGGGGTTATTTCACGATGAAACTATTATCATAATTAATCCATGTATAGTTACGTACACTATTATATGATAAATATTTCCATGTTGAAATAACCCCTGTTTGCTACACCCCTAAAAAGTGTTATATATGAGCGTGTAGAGCGAATTTTCCACTACAAAATCTGCCCTGCCACTATGCGCCCAAATTCTGCGTTAATCAGATATCATGATGAGCATTTTAGCTTTATTTACAGTGTTTTTATATCAAATTAGATATTTTTCGCATTAATCTCATGAATGGCTAATCTCTTCAACATTAGAACTTATAGTGGATCTTTTGTTATTTTAATAAGTAAATCGACTATGCTCTACACAATTTCAAACATGAAAATCGATTTGGAAGAACTCGATGTAAACGTGTAGCATATATAGTGGAATCACCCATAAACAATTCAGAAACACATCCTCTTGATATCACTTTCAACTCATTCTATCTTATTAAAAATATTGCATGTTTCTGATTGATTTGGTCGATTTTCAAATGACATACATGGTTAAATAATAATTAAATTGAACTTATTGTTTGATACCAATTGTTAATATGGAAAATACAGGTTTGTCTCGAATATATTTACAATGAGAGTCGTACTGAATAGTCGATATGAATATAGAAAAATAAGCTTATTACAGTATTATTGCATTCCATACTGTTTTTGAATTATGAACTGCAGATTATTAGAGAATTAGAATAAATATTTAAAGATTATATGCTATTGTGTATATGTGATAAGATTAATGAAGCTTTTATTTTCATTTCAAAAACTCATGTTCTTTTCGGAGATGAAAAAAGTTCATAGATGAGAACTTTTTGACTCTGTCCAAGATAAAATTCAGGAAGTTTCGACATGCGTCCAATCAAAGTTTTCTAGAATTCGAATTTTGAGACTTTTCAAAACATTTCCTAAGATCGTTTTTCGTTGCTTTGTGACGAGATCTGAATGAAAATATCTTTGTGAACTACAAGATTAAACACGGTCGGTTGCATTTTGTTTTAAAGTCTTTTCTTTGACAGTTGTGCTTAAACTGTAGGAGACAATTTTTTTTTGAAATTACCGTTATTCTTATGTAAAATCAAACGAAGGGTTACATGAATTTCGGCCCACGGAATTTTCGGGCCGGGCCAAAAGTCCTAGAGGAATTTTGGCCCATCCTTAGAATGACCTCATTGACCCCTAAAAAAATTTAATTTGTTTAATTAATTGCTAGATATCGTAGTGTTGAGCTGGACGACTTAGTGCTGAGAAGGACGATATGGGCGTGGACATAGCTGTGGACGCCGGTCAACGCAAAAAAGATACGAACATACCACATACGCCTGCACCCACACTAGCACCCCACAAACTTACACCTACACCCACACTCATGGTGTTCTGCTCAACATTGCACCACGCCGTCCGGATCAGCACCACGTCGTCCTGCTCAGCACTACGTCGTTCCGTTCAGCACTATGCCGTCTTCCTCAGCACTACGATATCTAGCAATTAATTAAAAAATTAAACTTTTTGTTAGGGGTCAATGAGGTCATTCTATGGATGGGCCTAAATTCCTCTAGGACTTTCGGTCCGGCGCGAAAATTCACCGGAATTTCGGACAGGGCCGAAAGTCCGGGCCGAAAATTCCGTGGGCCTAAATTCTCGTCTCCCCAAACGAAGCCTGAGCACTATAAACACACAACTGTTCAGATTTGCTATGATTGAAGATACAACAGAATTAGGAGAAAAAAAGGATCTGAATTATCTTTCTGTATCACTGATGTGCTTTCTGTTTCCTCAGAAATATCAAAACTTAATTTGCTGCTCATTTGCAACAACACAAGGTATTGCAGAGTTTGCTGAAAACCTATTTTCTACTGAGAACTTCTTAGAAATATCGAGAAAAAGTGGAAATTTGTTTATGTTGTCTTTATCAAAATTAGTAATACAAGTGACATAATGCTCGAAAGAAGTTATGCAATGTTATATTTGAATGTAAAACACGCTGAAGTAGCGTGATCCTTCGAAGATTATTGTCGTTTGCCGCTTCTCTAAAGTTTGATCAAATACGTCAATATGGATTTTAATGATATATCGTGATAATGTCAACCTCTTTTCACCATAGAAAGGATTCGGTATTTTCATTCACATACAGCAAATAACGAATGATCGTAACTCATCAGAGCGTCATAAGACAATAGAAAACGTTTTTTTTATTATCCAACTCTGTCATGAGACTACTGCGCAGTTTTGAATATCCATAATGAAAGTCAAATTGTCAGTTTTTCTAATGTCCAAAATTGATGGAATAGTTAATTGTTTTGTTCTTTCAAACGTTTACCATTGAGCTCAAAGCTTGTTTCAATGCTGACCCGCTCGAACTTCATACAGAAAAGATTGACAGCACGATTTTATTTCATCAAAATAAGTGTTTTTTTTCCATTCTGTGGTTACTCGTACAAATACTGTTACTGTTCTACTTTTCTTTTCAGTGCAATAACTGTAGTAAAATTAAGGCTAAAAGTACGATGTTGTCTTTTCTCTTCGAAAAGGATGACAAAACACATGTCTCTATATCAGTTCGTGGTGTAAATATTAGTTTAACGTCTGAGCCTAGTTGATTGGCAAAAAAACCCAAAGAAGGGAATTCATACAGATGGCGTTTACCTTATGTAAGAAAACATGGAAAAAACAACCAATCTGCGTTTAGTCCACCTATAATAACATATAAGAACAATAATAAAAGGCATAAAAATAATTGCTTTTTTTTTCGTTATTGCACAAGCGCACCAGAAGAGAACACACAAAATGTTAACATTGTGAGAATCTATATTATCGTGTTTTAATAGTAAAACAAAAAGCAACAGCGCATTTTTAATAGTTGCTACGCATATTTCTAATGATTTCTTTTCACGGAATGAGTCATTTCGCCCGCCGTATTGTTGGTGAATAGGCTGCTAGGCATCAAAAGCTTTTTTCAATATTTATGAGAAAGGAAACTTTGCCTTTTTGTCTTTTGTGAAATTTATCTAAGGATTTATTAAATTGGTCTACCTTACGTACCATGAATTTTTCAATGTCTTGCGTGCACCATTCTTCTAAAAAATCAGTTCTACTTTTCAAAATGTAAGTTCTACATGTTTCTGTCTTTCTAGAACAAAATAAAGGCGACAACGACAATTGTTGTGATCTGCTACGTCAATATGGCTCCGTTATTTTGTTCTTTCTGTTTCTCACTTATTTTCCTCATCAATATTCTGTTAAAATCGAGTCAATGTGCCCTTCCTATTGATTCTGAAAATCTCAACCATGCTGATATCTCTTCGTTCATAGATAAAGTGTTGTTAGTTATAGGCAAAAGTCAAGACGCTGGTGAGTAATAATGAATAGCATAACATGTAGTCACAATAGACTTGTAACTATTTGAAATTTTATGGATTGTCTAACAATTAAGTGCAAAGATTACAAATGACCAACATAGGAGATATGTGAATATTAAGTTTTCGTATGCTTTGTATTAATTACACCACAATGGAGAGTTTAGTCATAAGCAGACGAACATTACATAAAAGCTTCTTTTTTTATGAAATCGGATCGCAGCTCTACTCATTTTTTAATAACCACTGGCTGATAAATTAGCCAGACATATTGAATTTCCTTTTTTCCTGATTTTCTGGAAAATTAAAAGACTTTGTGAGTCATTCCATCAGCTTAATTCTTGATAAAATTTTACTTTTTCATTAAAGACTCTGGGATTTCTGAACAATCTATCATACTGGTCTAGGATGGAGTTGAAAAGCCAGTGCTATCACCTTTGAGAGAATCCATTTGTAAAAATTGCTAATGAACATTTGTTTTCGATGGGAATATCTTTGCGTGTAGTAGTCATAATATAGGAAATCAGAGATTTTCAGCTTAGAAATTCTTTGTTGTTCATTTATTTTAAATTGAGTCTGGATCATATTTTCAGGCGAAGGTTTTAGAAACACATAATTTGGTACACGTTTGAATGTTGTTTATGTGTTATAGTCAATCGATTTCGATGCCCCAAAGGATGGCAACGATTTGGTGGTTCATGCTACTATCTGTCCAATGTGACATCGATGGCTCATGAAGCCAATTACACGTGCAATCGTACTTATTTGAATAATTCACAACTGATGCAAATACGACATTCTGTCGAACTTTTCTATGCTGCACATATTCTCGTCACAAACGACCTATCTGAATTACTCATCGAAATCAAGTCACATGTATTAAAGAGTAAGACTGATCGGATCATGTTTTTTTTTCTATTTTTAAAATATTTTTTTATCAGATAAATTGTTCGCGAACGAGCTCTTAGTGAATGAGGAGATAGGATGGCAATCAGCAGAAGCCAGCTTTCGACAAGCTCGTCTAAATTATTATAGTCGGATAAAGAAAAAATTCTGTCAATTGCGACGCGAAGGTAATTCGTATGATGAAAAGCAACTCGATCATATTATTTGTACACAGACTCAGTTACACTCTCCTACTGCACGATCTTTCATATCTACCAGTGTAACTGCAAATGAGAAAGATGATTCTAAAAAAGACGAGATTAGCTCGTTCATCATTGATAAAGATTTGAAGCAATTTGATGATATTCGTAAAGTCTGTGATCAATTTGTATGGAATGTATTCGAGAATGATTCAAATGTGTTATTACTGACTAAATACTTGATGGGGAATAAAGTTATTTGTTCATTAAGTGACATTGATCCCAATATGAGCTATAGATACATGTGTCAATATGGTTAGTAACTCATTATATATGAAAAAATGCAGTAAAATACTTTCATTTATCTTTGTTTTTCAAATATAGTACTTGACTATTGTTTTGACAATAACATATGCGGCAAGCATGGACATTGTATTAATAATCTAGTCGGTTTCAGATGTTCATGTTATTTTTACATGGATGGTCCCTTTTGTAATAAAGGTAAACGAGTTTTTATTGATAGTGTAACAAAAGTTATCCTTTAATGATTTTCCAGTTTCCATGAAATCTATACAGCTTTTGATTGGTTTTTCTATAATTATATTGATTTTTATTATATTAAACATCAAGCCACTTCAGGAATACCAAAAGCTCGCTCTCCAAAAACTCTGCGAGTGAGTTTTGAAATTGTTCTCGTTTTAATAATTACTTTTTCTTTTTCTAATAGTCCTCTTAAAACTTCATCATGCACGTCTGACCATCATAGACAGGATTACGGAAACACTATCAATGGCAATATTCAGCCCACATCAACTTCCGAAACGTATGTTAAAGTTAATTGTATAAGCGAGCAATAGTGACAGAGCGTATCGTTAAAAAGTTGAAATGCTAAGTCATAAGAAGATCATAAACGTTCAGAAGATAAATATCGACTTCTGTACATGTACGAAAGTCAATATTTGATGTGAAAATTTTCATTGAGAGAGACCGATAGTGTTGAGAAAAAGAAACAGACATACTGTATTCAAAATGATCGATCAAATTTTCTACGAACCTAAATTCTCATCAATCTTAGCGAAACTCAAGAGAATAGCGTTGTTCGTTGGTTGCTGCTGCTTGGCTTGATGCTGGTCACTCTCTGTCTTCTATGTATTATTCCAACCGTCTATCAATTAGCTTCACTTCAACTCAATAATAGCGATCGATCGAAATTGGACTTGCGGATCAATGATGCTATTCGAATGATAACGCAATGCAAATACAAATCTATTCTGAAAATAGATAATCACGTCTTTATCTCTATCTCGATCGTACTTTGTCTTGTCTTTTATATTTTGACGAAACTTAAAACAAACTGTCAATATGGTATGAATATTGTATTATTTGATTGATGATTGGTTATTATAAATTTGATTTAGCAGGTTGTCTATCACCAATAGAACCTTTTGCATTTACCAATCGGTTTGAGACAGCTGCTCTTTCTGGCATAGTTATGATTGAAGTACTTATGGCACTTGAACGCTTTTTAATTGATATAAGCGAACTATGGAGTGAAGGTGTACTAGAGCAGCTTTTAGCTCGTGCTTTAGTTCCTCTTGTATATAGGTGAGCTAGATTTTCTTCTATTTATCTTTTGTAAACTTGATCAACATTTAGTATTCGTTACTATCCAATATTGGTCTCGTTACGACAACGAGATCCCAATGTTCGCTTTTTTGCTTTTATCTATATTATGGGCAATATTACATATATTATCATTCGTAGATGTTCATGCATGGATTTCTTACCTCTTTCTAAAAAATTTTCAACATTTGATGAAGCAAAACGTCGATTGGTATGTTACACGTTTTTTTCCCTAGAAACATTTCATAAAATGAATCGTGCAAATAAAACCATTTAGGAACTTGGTAATTGGATTATCATTTATGGATTGTTCAAAAATGGGCCGCAATTCATTTTACTTTCGTATATTGGTGCAGAAATTGCTGTTCGTTTTTTTTATGATTCCATATTTTGCAAGATAAAAACTAAACGAGGGACTGAAGCGGCACTCACTCCAGGTACTGAATTTAACATGCACTTTTCAAGAAGTTCGTCTACAGATCCTCCAACTAACGACAATTCGCCTTTAATAAGTTCCTCGTGTATGTGGAAGTTTATCAATCAAATCTATCCATGGGATAATAATTTTCGATTTACCACTATGGGTATGTGCGCATATACAGTAGCCTTTGTCTTACTTTTTTATTTAACATGTATGTTCGCCTTTCAACCCATTCTGGAAACGAGTTCGACGTCGTTTGTAATACTTTGTTTGGAGCAAATGCTGGATATAGGTGAGGTGCTTC